CGAGTAAAACAGTTCCCCCATGTACAGGTTTTAGGGTGTCATAGAAAGTTACAGGGTTAAAAACAGTGCTAGCAAATTATACATATTTATATATTTGAAGTCTACGTGTATATTTCTGAAATTATTTATGCAATTATGTATATTGACATATGTATATTTCGTATTTTTATTTATACATATATATATATATTTATATCAAAATACTGTTTGAATAAAATTACATATAATTTTATTTAGTTATTAAAAAATATTTTCACTTTGTTGTTATTTAATATATATATATATATATATATATATATATATATATATATATACACACACACACACACACACACACACAATTTAAATTAAATTGTATTTTATACACACACATATATATAATACACCTCTACACCCCCACTTCCCCCACTTTATACAAGTTACCTTATTTTTTAACTTTTTTTCTGATTTTCTACTTGCAGGGAGACTGCCTGTCAGCACAGACAGTCCCCCTGCAGGGAGATACACAAGCACCTATTGCGGCCACGTGATCGATGGATCACGTGGCCGTGGGGTCCTGATCTGCCGAGGGGAGACTGCCCGGGCAGACAGGCAGTCCCCCTGGACCGGGAGGAGCGATGATCGCCGCCGGGGGACCGACGGCGATCAGGTAAGTAACCCCAGACAGTTATGACGGTTCAGGACCGTCATCGGTCCCCAAGCTGATTTTTCCGATGACGGTCCTGAACCGTCATCGGTCGTCAAGGGGTTAAAGGATCACTAAAGTGTCAGGAAAACAAACTTGTTTTCCTGACACTGTCATCCTTGGGGGACTCTCACCCTCAGGGCCCCCCTCCCGCTGGGCTGAAGGGGTTAAAACTACTTCAGCCACTTACCTTAATCCAGCACCGGGCTCCCTTGGCGCTGGTGACCTCTCCTCCCCCACTGTCAGCTCCCGAGTGGAGCGGAATGAGCATGACCGTCAAGAGCCGCGTGTGCATTCTAACAGTGCATTTCTCAATGCTTTCCAATGGACGTTCTGCACGCTGAATGTGAATTGAGCTGAAGTGGTCTGGGTGACCATAGTGGTCCTTTAAAGTGGCTAAAATTAGGAATTCAAATTGTCCGACCCCATTAAAATGCAATCCATCTATGAGTGGCTGTTTTGTGTGAGAGATAGATATATTGTATTAAATATTAATTCTGTCTATAATGGGAGTATTCTTGTTTCCTGGACTCTTATTTCTTGCCCAGACATACCTCTTAGTTAGCACATGGTTAGATTGAAGGCAGCTGGTAACAGACAGGAGGGGAACACACTGATAGGAATACTGCTGTGTATTCACACTGTGCTCTCCATTCTAGTCCACCACTTGTACATGTCCCATAATGCACTTACAGTCAGAGTGCTGGCAAAGCATCATGGGAGATGTAGTGTACACAACATCTGTAAGCCTGTCTCATTTATTGTTAAATTTCCCCCCCCCTTTATAACATTGTACAGCACTGTGGAATATGTTGGCACTATATAAACAACAACAACAAGATCTGGATTGCTAAAGGTGGTCGATCCCAGCTCTACAGTTTTCTGTTTCTCCCCCTCCCCCTCCCCCCCACTTTCTGCCCCCTTTCTTTTTGGTACCCTTCGTTCACAGCCGGATTTCATTTTCACCCCCTTTAATTTAACTCTCCCTATATGTAACACCCCCGCACAATGTCCGTTTCCTTATGTCTTGCCATTCTGTAGTGTTGGGTCTCAGGCTGGAATAAAATTAGGAAAGCCACACACAGCTACTCGAGGTTGTTGACATCGTGGTCTGTTACCAGCCACTAGTCAGCTGACCACCTCACTCACAGCCTGTCCCAGCTGTCTGCATTACATTACAGAGACACAACTGTGGGCAGGACACATAGAAACAATAGGTCTTCTAACATTCCAGAACACCCCAGTATATGGAACATGTTAAACAGATACACACACATACACATACACACAGACACATACACACATATAAAAAAAAACAGTCAGAGGTAAGTACTTGAATGGTGGGCACACAACATACCAATATTTTAAAGGAATATGTATAGCTTTATCCCACGCTCTCTAAAAGAAAGGGACTGCTTACAGCGACAGATTTCTGCAGATGCTGTCATTATAAGCAACGGTGTGCAAGGCAGAAAAAAGAAACCATAAAACACAAAACATCCAAAATATCTTTGACGCTTACAGCAGCTCAGTCACCTTAGGGGGGTCTTTGCATATTTTGCAAACTCCCCCTGTGGTGATATCGTTGCTTGGGATACGTTGGCCCAGGGGAGCAGAAGAAAGTTATACATAGCTGAAGATGCCCACCCCCCTCCCCCCTCCCAAGACTCCAACAAATTATTTCTTCAGCTGAAGAAGAGCATGTCTCACAATGAGCAAAACAAGGCCAGATTGCTACAGCCAAGACAAAAAAAAAAAAGTAATAGTGGAAGCTCTGGACCACTAAAGCACTTCAGCTTGCTGAATAGCGTGACCTCTTATCGTTTTACAAAAAAGTGCAGATTTCAATATAAACTGACACTTTTATAAATTAACCTGGGTACACCCCATTAGCTGTCAATCAAACAAATGGTCCTGTTACTTCCTGGTTTGGTTCTCTCAGTGGAATTAAACTCAAGTGGCAGCAGTTGCCCATAGCACGTGCCTAACAAAGACTACTCATTGAGCTGCATTGGGAAGTCAGTGATTGGACAACTGCAGAAAGTCTGGGCAGGGTTAGGGAGGGCTTGCAAGCTGTTTTTAGATATACCCCAATGGGGGGTGGGGGGAATAAACCATAAATAATGTATTTTTAGAATTTGATGTACATCAATGTCCTGGTGTCCCTTCAAGTTAGGATTTACCATAAAACAAAGCAGTCCCTAATTTGTCCTATAAAATGCTAATAAATAATTTTTCAGGGACAGAGAAGTTTTAATGTTAACGATGACAGCAGGGGAGGGTAACACCAATTCTACGTGACAACGGAGACAGTGAGATCAATCTAACATTAAAGGCACAGTCTTAACATCAATACTACTACATGCTGATGTATAAAATAGCATTATAGTAAGCAGAGGGTGCTGTGCCCTGGTTTTGGCGAAAACTTCTGGATTCCCACATCTTCAATGAAAATGTTGTCCATATTTGTACGGCACTGCAAGGGTTTGACAGTCATCGCTTGAAGCAGCTTTCTAAATATAGGGATCATTGTTTATAATGTGAGCTTGCGTAAACACAATCAGTGCAGCTTTCTGATCCTGATCACTGCTGCTATCACAGGAAAGCCCCTGAAAGTCAGCAGCTAACAGGGCGCCAGCCATTGTGTGACCTTTGAGTGCGGAGCAGCCAGAGGAGGAGGAGACACCGCTAATAAGACATTTTTCTTGCAGGAGGAGGGGGGGGGGTGGTGGAATGAGCTCAGCCAGAGAGATTCAGAGCCTGTTAATTGATGACTTCCCCTCCATGTGCTCACATCTAGGAACAAACTCCTATTTCCAGCTCACTAAACACCAGATCCCTGCAGCAT